ATTGAATTAATTTCAAGATCTTGTTGACGGTGACTCAAGTTATATCCACAGCAGGCTTTCGTAGAATGGAACGTACATCCCATTCAACGTACATTAAATGGAGCTTAGATTTGGAGCTAGGTAAACTGGAACGTACGTTAATTTGGATGCTTTTAAACACAGGATTTACTTATTTAAAAAAACTGCACTGACTTGTTCATCATAATCTAAAGTTTAAAGAAAAACATAAAAACAAAGGAAAAAATATTGGTTTATCAAAACTAAATATTTGAAAAGGCGTGTGATGAAACTTTTTTTTTTTGAGAACCCTTGTTGTGAAAATGCTAGAATCAAACTTGAAAATGGAGTGCATGTGTACGAGAGCAGGCTAGATAACTAAACCTCGCCTTTCGCACAGGAAACGTAGACCCACATTTCATCATGCGTGCTCGCGAACTTTGTCCGCTGACCTGGTTTCAACTTTTCACCCACTTTACTTTTCGAGCTTCAAGCTTCTTCTTCGTTCTTAATCTTAGTGGTGGAAGGGAACATCGCCAACACAATTAAGTATTCGTGTCAACTGGTTATGCGCCAATGAGGCCGTTGAGCTTCAAGCTAAAACTTACAAAATACGCAGAACGTTTTTTATGGAGGTTATTACATAAAGCTCGTGAATATGTTGGAAATCATTCCTACAAATTCTGGGATTTTCAAAATTTTTAGTTAAATGACAGAAAAATTTGTAGTTTTTTGTTAGAATTTACTACTCGAAGATTCTACCTCCAAGCCTCTCCAAGGGTCCAGGCTGGCCAGCAGAAGATGAGAAACGCAATGTTTCTTCGCATTCGAAATTGCCTTAATAGCTGCACATGTGTAAGTTGCCAGAATCGACCTTCGTCGTTTTACCTAGAGGTCATCTATAAATGACGTCACGCTTTTTTTGACGATTTTTACCCCCCCCACCCCTTCCGTCACACATCGTCACAAAAAGCCAGACCCCGCTCCACCCCGCCCCCTAAAATGACATCAAACCTCAGCATACAACACCCCCCCCCCTCAAAATTGCAGTTAAATTTTTCTTAAAACATCGATTTTTTTCTAAAATCTTGTCTGAACTCTGTCAACATAGAGCATTTTAATCAGTTCTTATTACACTTTATTAAAACAGTTTTCTAAAACGCAAAATAACGACTGAAACTCGTTTTCTAATATTGCTTTTTTAAAATTCAAAGTGTAACATCACACCATTTGACCCCCCCCCCCCCCGTCGCTCTCCCTCATCACACCGACCGTCACAAAATTACGGCCACCCCCCCCCCCCCCGTTACGAATGTGACGTCATTTATGGATGATCACTAGGGAATGCGTCCGTGTGATTTACGCATTAAAAAACGAAATATATTGCTTCAACCGAAAACCCAAAATGCAGTATGAATTAATTAAAATAACTTGATAGTGTATTTTGAATTTATATTAAATATAAAGTATAGAAATACAACCATCGTTTTTGGATATATAATGTTTAAAAAATCATTATCAATTGTGTCATCGTGGGTGTCAGCGCACGAGAGTGGCCAGGCACATACATATATATATATATTTACATATATATATATATATATATATATATATATATATATATATATATATATATATATATATATATATATATATATATATGGGGGCAGTTATATATATATATATATATACATACAAGGACATGTCACACAAAAAAAACCAATCCATCAACTGTTTACAATTATCTTTCTGTGATGTGAATGCGAGAAAAATTATTCTGTTTGTAATCTGGTCAGGTGTTGAGTTAACTGAATGTGGATAAGAAAACCCTAGATTTAGCGAAACAGCGTTTATTTAACAAAGCTCATGAGATGGGCGAGGGCGGAGACAGAGAGAGGGCGGAGACCCAAAACATAAAAACGTGATGTCATTGTATACTTTTCCCCTTGAACTTCCCGCACATAACCCTACTTCTAGGTCCGTGTGAATAGTTCAGGGTTTCTGAAAATAAATTACCTCAAACTTTTTTCACACGGGGGGGGGGGGGGGGGGGGACACTGTTAAAAGTATATATTTTCTATAAAAATTCCATGTCGTGGGGGGGGGGGGTTAGAATCTTCAGGAGGCTTGTTACTCAAGCCTATATAAAGCTTCTTAGCTTTTGAATAATTAATTAAGTTAGCATTTGCCTTTCACAACAAAAACAAAATACTTAATTATCTTTCAATATAAATCAACAACAATATTTTGTAACTATGTCGTGTAATTTGAGTCCTGAAATTTGCTTGCTATCCAACTGGAATCTTTAATTTGTAACAGAGATATTTATAACCAGTTGAACTATTCATTATTTCCTCAAAATATGTTATCTTGCACGATCCATCACTAAGAAATGGCTTCTGCGGAATGTGGTTTAGCTTTAGAATTACAAACCTTCATGAACATGTCCTGACTTAATCCAGGCCTTCGTCTGAGGCTGAATGGATCGCTGCATCTTCGCCTTGAAATTTACTGAGGTCTACTTTGTAAAAGAATGTCTTTGTGTCACTAGGTTCCACAGGACAAAATTGTCCCATTAACATTAAAAATATGTATCAAAACATATTTCAATGTAATCTTTTGATTATAAAGTTGAGAAATCGGTTATTTTAATATGTTGGACAAGCTGCCTGCTTAGGTTTAGATACCAAAGTAACGTTACTGTTACTGTCAGGGCTAGGGTTAGACCCACGAATACGATGTTTGAAACTATTCTCATTATATATATATATATATATATATATATATATATATATATATATATATATATATATGATTATTATCAATATTTTTTTAAGGTAAGGTAAAGTAAAATAGACAATCAACTTTGAAATATGAATATTTTTCAAAACTAGAATACAAAATGAAACGTAATTGTAGACGGGATCCGGACATAAGGCCGACACGGACAAAAGACAGGCAAGACGTACCCGCTTCGTAGATCAAGATAATGCTAATACGAAAATGAAACAAATTTTCCCCGAAACGACTTGCTTGACTTGCAATAGTGGAAGGGGGTGGCAGCTATATATATATATATATGTATATATATATATATATATATATATATATATATATATATATATATATATATATATATATATATATATATATATATATATATATATATATATATATATATATATACATATATATATATATATATATATATATATATACATCTATCTCTATCTATAAAAGCAAAGTGGTGTTTGTTTATTTGTTCCTCCTTAGATCGGATATTCTCAGGTAAGTGGGCTATTAAATTTCGTTTACAGTGAACTAAAACTTACCTAGATAGTAAAATATGCAACATTAGCTAGGTTGGTAGTGTTTTTTTTTTCTCGAAACCGAAATCAAATACAAAATCTCCACTTTAACTTCAACCTAAACCTAAAGGACAGTTTAAATGAAAACAGCAACGTCACTTTAACTGACATATATCAGGGAAAGGGGAATTTCAAAGGAACCAGAAAACTGGAAATTTAACCGATAACGGAATACTTTACGTATCTGGAGATGTTGTTTTAACCTGAAACGTAATTAGTTCAGGAACTGGAGCGTTAATCTAAACAGGTGCTTTTTGTTGTCCGCCGAACTTTAACCAGAACCGGAATGTTTTCCGGTAATGAAAGTTTAACCGGAACGGGAACTTGACTAAATTTTTGTTTCCAGCTAAATTTGCGAATCCAGCAAAATGCCGCTTTTAATGAAATTTAGTTTCCTGTTAAATTTAGGTTTTGGTCTTAATTTCCCTAAGTAATTAAATTTCCGGACACAGTTAAAATGCTGATTCCGGATAATAATCCGTTTTCAATGGAATGTAGTTTCCAGTTAAATTACAGATTTTGATTAAATATTCGGTTATAATGAAATTTCCCTTAATGGTTTCGGAAAATTTCTAGTTGTGGTAAAGGGTTCAATTCTCTTTTAGCTTCAAATTCCGGTTAACATTTCATCTCCGGAACAAATTCCTATTCCGTTATAAAACCGGCAAAGAAAAAAGTTCCGAGTTCGATTAAAGTTCCAGTTCCAGAAAGAATTCCATTTCTGAAAAAAATCAGAATCGTTTTGTCTTCCTTTACTAGTTGAATTTTCAGGCTTGGTACTTGATAAATTTACGGTTCAGTTTACATTTCCGATTTTTGTTAAATATCAGTTTTCGTTTAGAGCAGGGGTCTCCAAACTACGGCCCGCGGGCCGGATGCGGCCCGCAATGTCCTCTCATCCGGCCCGCGGAGATCTTTTTGTCAACGGGAAAAAAACGTTTGTTGGTGATGGCTGAGGAACTTTTCCCAGAAAAATCAAAGACATGTCTGGAAGAAACTGGCCCCCGAACTGAAATTTGATAGTTAATGCGGCCCTCTGACTGAAAAGTTTGGAGACCCCTGGTTTAGAGTGCCGTTTCGATATTATTTCTCTTTTCGTTTAAAATGAGTTTTACGTTTAATTTATTTTGAGGTTAAGGTGGCGATTTTGGTTTTAGTTTCGGTTTTGAGAAAAAGAATATACTATCAACCTATCGTCCGTCCCCTCAACAGTATGGATATATTTTTAGCAGAGCTAGAATACACGATGAAACTTAATTGTTGACGTACCCACTGCATAGATCAAGTTAGGCTTAAGAATGTCAAAAAGGGTCCGTTCAGTGTTTTCGTGGAAAATAAACCCGGATAAATCATTCTTCTGACTGACAAAAGGCAGACACGGAAAAAAGGCAGACAAACCCGCTTCGTAGATCAAGATAAACAATGTTAATTCGAAAATGAAACAATTTTTCCCCGAAAAGTCTTGCTTGACACGCAATAGCTGAGGGGGTGGCAAGTATTAGGGGTGGGGGGGAGTGACAACACATGCTTTTAATTCTGTTCCTGTCAACATTGTAGATGTGTTTAGCCCTGGTATGATCAGTGTGGCGCTATCTAACTATTGTTGGGGTTGTTTTCAAAGTACTTAACGGGAAAATGTCATTTAAGAAAAATATGGTAGGTGATTATTTTTTGTTTCATTTAGATGATATATATATATATATATATATATATATATATATATATATATATATATATATATATATATATATATATATAGTTTTTTTCTAGTTTCGCTAATGTATAAGGGAACAGGTTATCGAAAACCTAAGCAAAGCTAGGCAGATCGTTTAAACTAAGTTAAATTTTTTACAAACCTGTACTATACCAAAGCCCGTTTATGCATTTGTATCTTGATTTTAAACTTGATTGTAAACATGTATCATGATTTTAAACTTGATTGTAAACACGTATCTTGATTTTAAACTTGATTGTAAACACGCAACTTGATTTTAAATCAAGTCAAATGACATGTAAATCTAGTTTTATAGTGTGTTTATAAAATAGGTTATGTGGTATAAAAACAACCGTCTGGCTATTTCAAGAAAAATTATACTTTGTAACAAAAATAATTGAATGCATTTTAAAGATTTTAAAATTCTGTTTTATAATATTTTTAAAACATGTGTGACTTTTTTAAGTAATATAGCTCTCTCAAAGTTTACAAACAATAACAAAAGTTATAGATCCACCATTTGTTGAGTGAACGCATTTATGTGTATGTTTAAGGTGTATGGATGAATAAATTATCCATTATGACAGTCATTATCTGGTTGTTTCTAAAATAATAAATTTTTACCTTACAGCAAAATCAACACAAACAAGTGAACCTAGTCCCACCTCCCCCTTCAACTCCATTTTTTTCATCTCTACGTCCTACTCTACCCCGATCTCAACATCGACCACAGCTCCCACCTCGGCCAAAAAAGAAGTTAAGCACTCAGCCTGCACCAACTCAAACAGTAGAGCTACTTTTGGTTGGGAAAACAGGCCACGGGATAAGCGCCACAGGAAATTCTATTGCAAGAAGGAAAGTTTTTAGTACATCCTCGGGCTTCCGCGCTGAGGTCAGCAAAGTTCAAGAGCTGTGGACTGAGTTAAACGGCTACACAGTTCATGTCGTGGACATGCCAGGCTTTAGAGAAGCAGCGCTTGATGGCGACCTTAATAGCAGAAACATGGCAGAAGCCGCTTCAAAATTTCCCAATGGGTTCCATGCTGTAGGGATTGTTTTGAAATATGGAGAAAGATTTACGGACGAGTTTATCTGTATGATGAAACGAGTTTTTGGAGAAAGTTTAGTTAAACAATATGGCATGATTATAATTACTCACGGAGATTGCTTTGACTTAAATCAAGAAGATGACGAGGTCGAAAATTTCTCTGACTGGGTAAGTAGACAGGAAGGTTCACTTAAACGGCTTCTTATTGAGTGTAGCTACAGGTGTATATTGTTCAGGAACCGAACAAAAGACGAAAAGGAGAAACATGCCCAAGTAATTACGCTCTTAGAGGGAGTATTAAAGTTAAAAGCTACAGAGACCCCCCACACACATTCTCATTTTGATAACATCCAAAATGTAAGCGACATGAGCATGGTTGAAAAAAAGTCACCATTTATCAAAGCTGAAATCATGCAACAGACGAATTTACTCATCGAAGCTATTAGCCGTATTAAAATCACAGAAGATAATATGGAAGAAATTGATAATGAAATCACAGTAATTGACGGTAGAATCAAAAAGCTTTATGATGATATTAAAAGCAATGATAAAGAAACAGGTGTTTTGATAGGTTTAAATATAGAAGTTAAAAAAGTTGAGACTATGCTTGTAAATTTGAGAGAATCTAAATTCACTAAACTAAAATATTTGATGAAGAGGAAATTTTTCGAGCAACAAAATCTGTTAAAAATCGAACAAGCAAAGAGAGAGAAAGCCGAAGATGAGAAAGCACTTTTAGAAAAACTAAAAATTGCTGGTGAAATAGATAAAAATACAATTTTTAAAAAATTGCAAGAGAATGAACAGGCTATGCGCTTAAGAGAGGAACAAATGCTGGAAACTTTTAAAAATGAAATGCAGAAAATCAAAAGCGAAGATGCTCGTCGCTGGAGAAAAAAAGTTGAATTTTTACAAAAGACACAAGCGAGTCAACTGAAGTCCATACAAAAGCATTATGAGGACATGAATAAAGTAAATAATTTCGCAATTCAAAGTGAAATCAATCAGCTAACTGGTGAGTAATTTTGAACCCCATAAAGTCAATTTTTACATAGTTAAAGGTCCTGTTAATAAATTATCTGAACTGAAGAGGTCATATTTAATTACGTAAGGTATTGAGGGGAAACTCAACTTTACCTTACTTTGTAGGACTGACATGGCCAGATTAATAGTAAGACTTTATGGTTATATTTTGTTTCATCTGTTATATAATAAAATAGTTATGCAATGTAATTTGTTTTTCAATCTCATGTAGGCAAACTTGAAGAGATAAATAAAACAGCGAAACCCCGAAATCAAGATCCGATGAAAATTGAACTACGATGCAGGGATCAGCAAGGGAGGGTCATAGACCTGGAGATGGGCAAGTACGATGAGATGGTTCGCTTGATGAGAACTTTTTGTGATTCGTACAGCATGCTGATGCATGAAGCCAAATTTCTAATCGATGGAAAACGAATACAGCCTTGCGACACCCCGACCTCATTAGAGCTGGAAGATGGAGATTTAATCGAAGTTTTTAAAGACCAGATAGGGGGAGTTTAAAAAAAAATGGGTCATCCATTTATGACGTCCACAAAAATTCAGGAGATATCGAAATACTTACTACATGAATAACATGTATTGTGTACCTAATAACTGATATACGGCTTAATATTTTCCATAATGCTTGTTAGTTGGACTAAATATCAAAAGTGGAATCTAGAGGTGTCTTCATTTAACACAAGTAAAGTCGTCTTGATTTCACTTTTTACATGCAGGATACGAGTTTTATGTTTGTTTTAAAATGTTAGTACTTCGAGCTTAAGTTTAACTTGTGGACATCCGCACAGACCCGAATCCCCACCCCCTAGTCCACACGCTTCCACAAAAGACAATTTTTGGACCCCCCCCCCCTCCGTGTCGACGTTATAAATGGACAACCATGTAAAATGATATTCGTGAATTTAGAATAAATTCAAAATATTTTTGTTTTAAAATTATCCATAACGTTCTAAAGTCAATTAAATAGAATATATAATCCTAGGTATTGTAAAGATGTATAGAATGACGGGCCGTTTCGGCTAGGTCTTTCTCTTGCAATTAGTAGTCATATTTAAATAAAAATGCTGGTTCAAAGTGTATACATAAGTTTGTAAGCAAAATAACAATTCAACATAAATATATCATAAATATAAATCCATGCACAAATTTAATGCATTTCCATAAAACATTTGTTTAGGTAGTGCTTAAATCTATTGAAATCTGAAACTAAATTATCAACAAATAAAACACATTGCGTCGGAAAATCTAATTCATTTAACTGAAAGCTATAGTTCAATACCCAAAGATGTAATTTAGATGTGATTATCCAACAAACACTGTACAATATTTAACATGAAATAACAGATTTTTTTTTACCAACCCTAAAAAGATGTGTTTAAATTTCTTAAATGTATAATATGAATATATGAATATATATAAATATATATATATATATATTATATATATATATATATATATATATATATATATATATATATATATATATATATATATATATATATATATATATATATTGAACATTAAGTAAGAAAAGTTTACTTTGGGGTTTTAGTTTTTTGAAAAGTAATAAAATCCACATGGTTTAATTGTGATTTATATAATAAGTTACTCATACTTTTGTGTTTGCAGTAATCGATATTCTCCTATTTCTAAGAAAGAGAGCCCTTACGTTTTTAAGTACACCCTCTAATGCTCAGAGAAAAAAGGTGGCTTGGAAAGTACTATACAAATCCGTTACTGGCTAAGTTTCAATAAACATAATTATCCTTTTATCTACGTAGCTAAAGTGGTAGCCTACTTTATTAAGAGGAATGCATGAATAAGATGTGGGGAGTGTAGCCTAGCGGTGGAGTGCTAGACTGCAAGACAGTAGTTTTTCCAGACTTTTTTTTTCCGGGGGGAGGGGGGGGGGGGTCACTTGCAATTTTCGGGGGGGGGGGGGGGGCGGACTAAAATTTCCGCGGGCCGGTGGGGTGGGTGGGGTGGCTGACACTGTAAAAAGTATATATTTTCTATATAAATTCTGTTTTGTTCGGGGGGGGGGGGGGCGGTAGACTTTTTTCGGGGGTGGGGTGGGGGGGGCACTCGAAGAGATGCCTGGAAAAAACTCTGCTGCAAGGCTGAAGGTCTCTAGTACGAATTCGGGTAGAACGTGCTGTTTAATTATCATACAAGAATAAATAAAACACCATCGGTGATAAAATAATTTGTAGTTGTTTTAATTTTTCTATTTTTTTAAATAAATTATTTTTGAATTTTAACTAAATTTAATGTTTTTGTTGTTAAATCCAATGTATCATGTAACGTATGTCCGAAAATTGCTTCTTAATTTGTGTATGTTATACGTTTTCACTGGCCTTAGCCTATAATATGTCGTAATTTGTGTGTTCTCAGGAATACGTGATGATAAGTAAAACACCAGCGTGTAGGTCTCGATTTGCAGCTTTGTGTTTTTGAACCCCGATAATTAACTTTATAATTAGCTGTCGACTTAAGTACAATTTCTTAGACTGGGTGGTTTTCAATCTCCGATATGCTGTTAGCATTTTAATTCTTAAAAAATAATGTGATCACTTTATCAAAACAGTCGCCAAATGCGGATAATCACTGCGGTAAGCCAAAAGCTAATCAAGCGTAACACCCTTTGTCTAGAACGAGTGATGTGGATGGATTGTGCTGCCTTGTTCATATTGCTTTACTATGTTTTCTATTGTCACTGGAGTTATTGTTTTTCTGTAGACGCATGAACGGGTAGTAAAGATGTTTACAATCTGAACCTTGTCAGTAAAGAAAACTTTGATGTTGGTGAAGACTAAAGTTTGAATAGACGGTTGGTCGTACGCAATAGGTGGTCTTTTATTTGTTCAGAGCTGTAGACCGGGTCGAAGTGTCACGTGATCGGGTAACTTGTGTACTGAGTCGCAAAAACATGACTTTCGTTCCTATAATCTGAAGTGGATTATTTATCGTAGACTAAAGCAGTCATTTTTACAGAAAATGTATATACACGATACAACAGTTAATAAAAATATTTCGTTGCTGTTTCACATCCTTCTAAAACACAAACGTATTTTAATATCTAAGTCTAGTACCTAAAAGTAGTATCGCTTATCTAACCTGAATTTTCAATAAAGCCAGATCAGTGTTTAGAATACTGGACTTATGTTTATGCCATCAACTTGAGGTCGACGGATATTTTTTCGAAGTCTAAATCAATGTCTTTACACAAATTTCAACTAACTAATTTGAACTACAATCAATCTGCCATCAGATATTTGATAAAGAAAGTAATTTGTGGTTGAAACAAAACATGATTTAAAAGGTAAATACTGAAACGACATATTTGATTTCGTCATTAATTTATCCCGTGCATTTTAATGATTCCCTACACCTCACTCTCAAACATTTACCTTCAGAGAAAATCAGACCCTTCTATAATTAGTTCATAGTATTAAGCTTTCTCTCTTACTGAAAAATGGGACCTCACTGCTTATAAACAATTAATATATTTTGGCTTCCTATACTTAAGAAAGTAAAATAAAATTTAAAAAAAAAATCACATCGCAGAGTACCAATCACGAGCGTATGTCAAATGCCAGAAAGATATTTGCCCGAATGCCAAAAGGCTGAAGGCAGTTTTCTTAAATCGACATTTTCCGGGTGGGACAAATGTTTTATTAAGAATTAATTTTTCTTACAAAAGATCAAACGCCATTTTATTTTGGATTTTATGAAAATGCTTTCACATTATTAAACAATCTCTTACATATTTTCTAGACAAGTGTTTTAACGGAAATCAAAGCATCTTTGTTCAATTTTTAAAGACGCCCTCTAAACCTTACCCATTTTTACTGTTGTTAAAAATGGCCATCGTCACATAATGTTTTAACCAGCTAAATCAGACAAGAGTGTTTAAAAAGTCGTCTCAATCGTACTAAAGAAGCAACATTAGTTGATTGTAAGGACACCGATTGCTTGCTACTACAAAGATTAATTGAACTGCGTAGACATACGACTGCTAATACAGAAGTCTCGAGCTAGAACCCCGGGTTCAAGTCAGTGGACTGTCCCTGAGACCACCCAGCTCTAATGGATACCTGACTAGTGTTAGGCGACCGGGCTGATTACACTCTCCCTTCATGTGACGAGCTAATTGAAACAGGTTAACTCTTCTTCACCAGGCCCATAGACCGTCAGGCTCAAAATGGTACTTTACTTATTTTACACACGGCAAAACAGTACAAGTGTTAGCGGGGAAAATGTGTATTATGTTTGACAATACAGCATATTCTTATATCATAAAATTAAAAACATTTTGACGATAAACAAATACAGACACGATTAACAAATTGTTTAGACAATTTTCACTATATGCACAGTTTTATTTTCCTTAAAATTTTGGACATTAACTTGTTCATTTCTTCACTGGACTAGCCACGACGGCATCCAAAAGCTACACAGATACCTCTACGCCGTCTAATACAGACAATAATGCATCCTGCAATACATATCAACAATTATAGAAAACACACAAACACATGACATCCATAAACACAAGAACCTACACGCATTTACTTATCTACAATAGTGTTTGTGTGTGTGTGTCTAAAACATTGTGTACGACGAGCAATGACATTGTTTTACTTACGCTTTTGTTTTTCCTGATCAGTATCCTGCAGAGTGAAATATACAGTTCAATAAGAAGTTAATGTGTGGTATTTCTATGACTTAACTGTTTATCGTTACAATAGTGCCCATGTAATCCAAATAAGGTTAGTATTTTAAAACCCAACATAAAAATAAACTTACCGAAGCTGAAACCAAAGATTTATCTGAGAAAATAATTTATTTACGTCATTTATTTTTAGATTCTTTTTTAAATACAGATTATTTGCATGGTTTCCAAATGTATTAGTATGAGATATTAAATTGACAAATCTATATTGTAAAAATAGATTTACGGGATTGTAATAAACACTAAGTTAATTACCTTGCTGTTGATATGATAATAATTCGGCTGAAAAATTATGCAAAGTAAAAGATATATATATATAAATATAAATATAAATATAAATGTAAATATAAATAAATATATATATATATATATATATATATATATATATATATATATAAATATATATATATATATATATATATATATATATATATATATATATATATATATATATATATATAAATATATATATATATGTATATATATATATATATATATATATATATATATATATATATATATATATATAATTATGAAGAATATTAAATATATGATCAAATATATGAGGAAGCTATATATATATATATATATATATATATATATATATATATATATATATAAAGACACACACACATATATATGTATAAATATATATATATATATATATATATATATATATATATATATATATATATATATATATATATATATATATATATATATATATATATATATATATCTTATCCGTCGGTCGTACATTGCAGCGATCTTAGAAGAGATAGCGAATCCAAGAAAACTCTTTTCGGTAACCTTGAAATTGTTCATAGAGTTGCGTTTTTGCATGCTTATTCTAGCTCTCAATCTTTTGTGTTGTGATTAGTAAGTGGTAAATGAAAAAAAAAGTATTGGAAATATGCTGTGGTCCCTGATAACACTTACAATGTCAATTTGCTTACAAAAACTTGCGTGAAACCCAAGCCTTTCAAATATATGCATCGGGTATCAGCTATTCCTAAATACCAATATTGTATTTCCGTGTTGATTAGAACTTGGAGTAAATGTTAGCAGTACATTTTTAAATTTCAGTGGTTGAGGCGCGGGTTATTCTCATTACCACTCAGTATGTGTGTTAAAAGCTGGAGTGTACTTTCATCACCTTACGCAAAAACATCTGTCGGCGACAGCCCAAAACTCAGGTACTTGACTGGGAGCTTCTGGCAGCCAATGGTTAACTATCGTTGGGGCTTCGGGTAGCGCCCTGTTTCGATTTACTCAAATATTCTCTTAGCCCACAATATCCCGATTGTAAAATGCTATTGAATATGAATGTGCGTGCTTAAGCGCTTATGAGGAAGCACCGGACGCTCTGCGTCAAATGACAATCGGGGCACCAATGCAACCGCTGTCAATGCTTTGGAACTAAAGCCGTATAACTACAAGGTTGCTAGGCGAGCGTCGCCTCCCCCATTGTTAAACAAATGGTATGCGACAAATCTTCGCAGGATTGTACTCAACTAACTTACAGTTTCACGGGGAAATCGATGAATATTTTATTGATGCACAAAATACAAACACAGATCCACACAGACCTACAGTAAACACACACACACACATACATATATATATATATATATATATATATATATATATATCGTGCGGCGTCAATTCGGCCAATGACGAAACGGCCCCGTTAAAAACGACCCCGACAAAACGACCCCGTCAAAACGACCCCGTCAAATTGGCCCCGTCAAAAGGGCCAGCGACATATGGACCCCGTCATATAGGCTCCCGACAAATAGGTTCCCGTCATTTAGGCTACCGACAAATAGGCTCCCGTTATATAGGCTCCCGACAAAAGGGCTCCAGTCAATAAGGCTCCTGACAAATAGGCTCCCGTCATTTTGGCTCCCGACATATAGTCTCCCGTCATTTAGTTTTTTCCACAAAACGGCCCCCGTCATTACGATTCCCGACAAATAGGCTCCCGCCATTTAGTTTCTCCACAAAACGGCCCCCGTCATTACGACTCCCGACAAATAGGCTAGCGTCATTTTGGCTCCCGACAAAAAGGCTCCTGTCAATTTGGCTCCAGACAAAAGGACCACTGACACAGTGGCGTAGCTACCGTAAAGCTAGCGTAAGCAAGGCATGGGAGCCCAAGGCACATAGGGGCCCTTTTCCCTCATAAAAAATTAAAACTTTTACAATGGAATTTTAATATTTGTTACATATAAATAATTTTAAAAAAGAAAAAGGTTAAAAGTTCCAAAAAGCCCCCCCCCCCCCCCACCGTTCCGGCAGTGGGATTCAGTGTTTGTGGGTCAAACAGAGCCCAATCGTTATAATAACACTACAGGCTATACCACTTTGTCGTGCAAGACATTGAGAGAATCAGCCTATAAATAAACTTTTTAGCAGTAGTAGGCAAGCACAATAATATAGTATAAATACAAAATCAGGATATATAAAATACAAAATGTTGCCTTCAGAATATTTATATATTAAAAATATCCATCGTAAGTAGAAGTTGATCTCTTCGTTTAACTCCTCTGTAGCCTAACGCAGAGGCGTAGCGAAGGCGAGGCGGGGGTGCGGACCGCAACGGGTGACACCATTTAGGGGGGGGGGGGGGTGACACCAAAGGCAAAAAATTGTAAAATTTATAGAATGAAATGCCATTTTCCAGATCCATTAGTTAAAGTTAAATAGTCTTCTAAGTACAAATCAAAAATTATATCAAGAGTGGGGGGGGGTGTGACACCACGACGTAAACGTAAACTATAAAGAAAACAATGCTACATCCAACTGTATTATAAACAGACTGTAGATAAACATCGTTACTATTAAGTCAGCAGTGATTAAAGCTTAAACACGTACGTGTACCAGTATGTGGCATATATATAAATTTTAGGCCTATGTAGGCCGACACACACACACACACACATATATATATATATATATATATATATATATATATATATATATATATATATATATATATATATATATATATATATATGCTTTGTTTCCTGGGAGGGGGTGACAATACGAAGTGCCGCACCGGGTGAGACCCGACCTAGCGACGCCACTGGCCTAACGGCTGACGAAGGGGCCCACTGATAATTTTTGCATAGGGGCCCAAAAATCCTAGCTACGCCACTGCACTGACAATACCGTTTCTGTAGAGACTAAGTCTCCCGGCAAAGCGGTCTCATTGAATATGACATCTGCCAGTGGGACCCCTTCATCAATATTCTTTAGAGTTAGCTTATCCAACACTCTTATGTAATACAACGTATGCATCTCTTGTTCGGCAGGCCTTATTTTTATATTAGTTTATCTATTATAAAATATAGTATGTTTTAATTTAAGGGTCATCTATCTATGACATCCATAATTGAGTCGGTTATAGGCTGTTCCAACTCATTGTGTGGGGAGAAAGGTCCACGCTGTACCTTCCTAACTATAATATGCTTGTACAGGGGCGTAGCGAGGGGGGGGGGCGGGGGGTGCGGACCGCGCCGGGTGACACCATTTAGGGGGTGACACAAAGGCAAAAAATAGCAAAATATATAGAGAAAAAGTTGAGGGGGTGGGGGTGCAAATCGAAAGTTTGGGGGGGGGGTGCAAATCGAAAACTTGAAAGTTTGTCCCCGGGAAGGGTCGCAACGCCTTTGGGGGGGGGGGGGGGTGACACCATTAAGTGCCGCACCGGGTGACACCCGGCCTCGCTACGCCACTGTGCTTGTAGGTTATCAAAACAAAATGCTGTTATCATGTTAACATCATGTATATCATACATTTACACTTCTGTGCTCGCTTTTAAGCAACAGATCTTTTCTGTTGTAAATTAAACATTATCAAAACTTTAGAATTGGTGGAATTTAGCTGTTAAGGGCTAGGTTTGTTTGTGAATTAATGTTGGTTCATGAAAAAATAATTTCATTCGGGCATTAAAAAGAGGTTATGGAGGTATTGGAGGTAGGACACAATGGTTACATTTATGCCAATAGTGGTCATATCATTCATTTTTCTGGAGCCAATATGTCGGGAGTCATTTTGTCAAAAGCCAATTTGTCGGTAGCCAAAATGTCGTGAGCCCATTTGCCGGGAGCCCATTTGTCTTGAGCCCTTATGTCGGGAGCCAATATGTCGGGAGCCGCTTTGTCGGGAGCCAATATGTCCTGAGCCTATTTGTCAGGGGTTAATATGTCGGGAGTCCATTTGTCGGGAGCCTAAACATCGGGAGCCCATTTGTCGGGAGCCTATATGTCGCAAGTCAATATGACGGGAGCCCATTTGACGGGAGCCAATAAGTCGGGGCCCTTTTGACGGGGCTATTTTGACGGGGTCGGTTTGTCGGGAGTCGATTCGACGGGGTCGTATTAACGGGGCCGTTTTGACGGGGCCGATTTGTCCCGGGCCGTTTTGACAGGGCACCATATATATATATATATATATATATATATATATATATATATATATATATATATATGTGTGTGTGTGTGTGTGTGTGAGAGAGAGAGAGAGAGAGTGAGTGTAAACCAGTACTCAATATGAATGTGTACACTTTATTTATAAAATTAATGAAGCATAAGGTTTAAATACTCACAAATATCAACAACCATGTTCTGTATAGCGCCAGCCACCTGACCAATGGCAGCGACAACAACATCAACCGGTTTGTTTTCACCTAATTAAAAAAGTAATATTTGGAATACCTACTTAAATGTTTGCATATATATATATATATATATATATATATATATATATATATATATATATATATATATATATATATATATATATATATATATATATATATATATATATATATATTTATACTAAACTTGACACAATTTCTAATTTAATAAAATGGTAATTTTAATTAGTTATGAAAAAAATTAAATAAATATTTTTTAATAAAATCCATCAGACATGTAATTTAAATCATCAGTTTGCATTGTGCTTGTTCGCTTTATTATCAGTCTTCATAATCCGCTTGCAACGATTAACGCATATTTAAAAAAAAGAAATGTAGGCAAATTTTTTCCAAACATGTACTTTAATTCACTAATAATGGTTTATTTATCCTTATTGCTAAATGTTTAATTAGAAAAATGTGAATATATTTATTGGTAATTAGAGGTTTTAATATGGGGTGGGGGCTTGACATTAGAAGTATTTTTAGATTTACTAAATCATGATTTTGTGTGCGGTAACTACATACCAGCAAAGAAATTTGAACTGCATAAGTTAAGTCGCTAAAATAACTAAAATATTATATTAAAATTATTATTTCAGATATGTGATACATTTCATTGGGATACAATCTTTAATATGGATTAAAATTATTTACTCCAACAAATGGTAAACGTCGTAAATTTCTTCACCTTCAAATAGTACAATGGTTACTTAGATGGCTACCTCCCTTACACATAGTCCAAATGACGTAGTCTTTGGGTTTTTTTTCACTGTTTATAGCATAAAATACTGTCTCTCGAGAATTCTAGGATTTTCCCAAGTTAATCACCTGCTTTATTGTGACCCACCCGGGTCGTTCTACCATCTTAGAAATTATCATGGGGTTTTCACGTTGGTTCAATAAAAACAATGTTCCGGATACTTCCCGAGGATAACACCATTTTTTTCTGACACCCTGGGGCCGATTTTTACTCGCGGCTAGTTTTTAGCCCTAAGCGAACGCATTAAGTGTGATCGACACCTTTCATTTATTACGTTCGACTCAGTTAACGAGAAGCATGCAAAAGCTTAGCCAGGTGTACAGAGCTTAAAACCCTCAAATTTAAAATCGTTTTAAAAATTACTTTATATTTTTCACATGAATTAAAACGATTGTATAAGGAATGATCAGTTCTGACCGCTTTATTCATTTTCCCCAATGTGAAGAGTCTGCGACGCCGTCAAGTGCCCTAACAGACATCATACAATTTTGCCGTATATTTATATATATGTATAGTTTTAGGCATTAACACATACATACGACCATTCTTTGCGTATTATATGTTTATGTATATTGTATGTAAGTAATTTTGTGATTTATGGGCACGAGCTTTTGTGGTGACAGTGGATGTATGTTAAATCCCTCAAATACATACATACATATATATTATATAATATATATATATATATATATATATATATATATATATATATATATATATATATATATATATATATATAATATATATATATATATATATTATATATATATATATATATATATATTATATATATATATATATATATATATATATATATATATATATATATATATATATATATATATATATATATATATATATATATATATATATATATATATATATATTATATATATATAATATAATATATATGTATGTATGTATTTGAGGGATTTAACATACATCCACTGTCACCACAAAAGCTTGTGCCCATAAATATATATATATATATATATATATATATATATATATATATATATATATATATATATATATATATATATATATATATATATATATATATATATATATATATATAATATATATATATATATATTATATATATATATATATATATATATTATATATATATATATATATATATATATATATATATATATATATATATATATATATATATATATATATATATATATATATATACATATTATATGTATTATACAGGCTGTATGAATTATATATAATTGAGTAAAAGTAAAGAAACATCTTTAAACATAGCGATCCAGTGGGCAGATGAAAAAAAGTTCATGTTTTTTGACTTCGGCAAATGAAGGGAAGGTGTGGTCAGCAATTTGCCCAAACACCTTTACTTTCCCTAAAACGAGATAGGTACCCATCAGATCTGGATGGACTCAGGGACGGTCTACTGACTTGAACCCGTATTCGAACTCGAGACTATCGGGTTAGCATTCTAGCGCTCCACCGCTTAGGCCACGCAGACCCACTACTTGTATTATGCATGTATCTAAATTTAGGGAGCACAACAAAGTGTTTAAATAGTGTTCCAATTATATGCTATAGTTACCTTGTAGTTGCACCCCCTTCTTGACTAGACTATCCCAAAGAGCCAGTGCAGATTGTAGAATATTCGTTTCGTACTTTATATCATCTGTAAATTAAAAAATAATAATTGCCGGTATATTTGCTTGGCTTCCATGGGAACTTAACATGGTATAATTGGTACATGTACTATCTACAAATTAACATATTTTAAAATCTAATATCAGTAAACGAAACATGCAACGTCATATTGACTATAAAATCCTTGCAAATATAAGTATATGTTTACCTATTTTTGTTATGTAACATTATTTTTCATTATTTGCCTTGTTTGTTTCAACATGCTTACATAATTAAAAAAATTTAAAAAATATGAAAGTAATTTATGTTGAAAAACCCCCAGTGTCAGTATTCTTTTAAAAAAAAAAAATAATATGGTTAACATATGCCTACCATCGAACAGAGCGGAAACAATGGAGATGTCGTTGTTGGTAGACAAGGCTTCGGTAAGCAGCTTCTTCACATCTTCCGTGGATACTGGACGATAAAAAATTTTATTTATGGACGCTATAGTTACATGGCAAGCTCTAGACACATTAATATATTAATACATGTTTTTTAAGTAAGTTGTGAATTTTGTAATGGATTTGCTTATGTTTCTGACAATTAAGAATTAGATTGAAACATTTAGACCAACCTGCATTAGTTAGGCCATCAGCTAAAGTTTTTATCTCCTTTGCTGCTTCAGCTAAGTCTATTCCCACAATACCTTAAAATTATATTGATAATAACATATATATATATATATATATATATATATATATATATATATATATATATATATATATGTAAGCTGTATAAATGAATATAGTATATATGTATATATGTCATACATTTTTCTTAGTTCTGAGTAAAATTTTAAGCATACAATAATCATCAAAAACAAATATAATAAAATACAAATTTTTGCACGAATATTGTCTCTAAATACTTTAAGATATCCCTTTAGATCTTACCGCCCGATGTTCGGTTTAGAGCATCTTTGACCAGTTCAAAGACTCTAGCAGCGCTTGACGTTGTATCCCGTCCTGGTCGTGGTATACAGGGCCAGATGGGTCTCGGCCAAGGACACGGAAAAATCGGTCTCTGTAATTTAAAACGTACTACGCCTCTTGACGATAGTATTTTGTTTCAGCAACATAAAACACACAGTATTGCAACTATTAATAACAATAATGCAATCTAAGCTATAGGAAAGTAGTATATTAGGTCCCTTTTGATTAGTATCCGCAGGCGCAGGCGCACCCAGGATGCGCAAAGGATATATAGGAAAATACTCGGATGCGCAGGGGGATGCGCAGGCGCTGCAGGAACAACGAGATATAGTAAAATACTCGGGATGGGGATGCGCCGCAGGAACAACGAGATATAGTAAAATACTCCAGGCGCAGGCGCAGGCGCAGGGTGAAGGAGCCGCAGGCGCAAAGACATATAGTAAAATACTCCGGATGGGGATGCGGATGGGGATGGGGATGGGGATGGGGAGGATGCGCAGGGATGCGGATGGGGAGTAGGTCAGTAGGTCAGTAGGTCACCGGTGGTGACCTTGTGACGTAATCAGTGACCTAGTTACGTAATTTTAATGAGTTTTTAATTAGTTTTAATGAGTTTTTTAAATTTTAATTAATTTTTGACCTAGTTACGTAATTTTAATGTGTTTTTTAATTAGTTTTAATGAGTTTTTAAAATTTTAATTAATTTTTATTAACGAGTTACGTAATTTGATTATTTGTTTACTTTTTTAATTGTTTAATTTGTTGTTTACTTGTTGTTTAATTTAATTACTTTGTTTATATTGTGTAATTTTTTATTAATGAGTTACGTAATTTGATTATTTGTTTACTTTTTAATTATTTTTATTGACGAGTTACGTAATTGGATTTTATTTATTTATTTTTTATTTTGTTTATTTTTAATTTTATTTTATAATTAGTTTGAATTCAATTTAATTACTTTGTTTATATTGTGTAATTTTTTATTGACTAGTTACGTAATTTGATTGTTTGTTTGTATTTTGTTTGTTTATTTTGTTTGTTTACTTGTTATTTAATTTGATTACTTTGTTTATATTGTGTAATTTTTATTAACGAGTTACGTAATTTTAATTTTTAAATGATTATTTTTTTAATTTTTAACTTTTTAAAATTGATTTTAATTACTTTGAATGTTGTTTATTTGTTTATTTGTTGGTTTGTTTATTTGATTGTATGTATGTTTTATAGTAAACGGAGAGTAATGACGGGGGTTGAGGGGAGGGGTGTGCTACCATGTACTAGAACAGTCTTTGTATAGGGACCATTTTCCAACACAACGAACGTTACAAAAATAGAACATCCATTAAAGATAACGATCAGCCACAGCTGTTACGTATCGACCCGCCCGCGAAGTTTCCTCACCGCTGCCCGTTTTAATGGGAATGTATTGATCGCAGCCGCTGGCCCATCACACCTAATTAAATTTTTGTTAGGCTTCACCGAGTTTCCCCCGAGCGGTTGACAGGTTATGGTAATTTACGACGTACATTAAGTGCCTCTCCGTGAAGTACGTAGGTCATTATGCAACAACTGTTGTGCGACAGCTGGTGCTGTAATTAGGCGGATCAACCGGACATTACCTATTTTGTTTATTTTTAATTTTATTTTATTTTATAATTAGTTAAATTATTATTAACTAGTTACGTAATTTGATTTTAATTTTTTTTTAAATTTTTAAAATTTTTTTTTTTTTTTTTTTTAAATTATTATTTTTAAATTTTATTTTTAATTGTTGTTTACTTGTTGTTTAATTTAATTACTTTGTATAATTTATTTGTTTGAAATTCATTTTAATTAGTTTGCTGTTAATTATTGGCGACAGATGTTACCAAGCGGGTGGTGGTGGTGGTGGTGGTGGTGGTGGTGGTGGTAAATTTGCTTAAGATTATAAACTTCAAGTTTTAAAAATCAACAACGTTATGGACCATTCAGCAACACAACGAACGGTTACCGAAAATAGAACATCCATTTAACCACATCTGTTACTTATCGATCCGTGATCCTTTGTTGACACGCGCTGCGCTTTTAATGGGAATGTATTGATCGCACCTACTGACCATCAGTATGATGGTCCATCTATGTGTAATTTTTTATTAACGAGTTACGTAATTTGATTTTAATTTTTTAAATTTTTAAATTTTTTTTTAATTTAATTTTATAATTAGTTTAATTATTATTAACGAGTTACGTAATTTGATTTTAATTTTTTAACTTTTTAAATTTTTTAAATTATTATTTTTAAATTTTATTTTTAATTGTTGTTTACTTGTTGTTTAATTTAATTACTTTGTATAATTTATTTGTTTGAAATTCATTTTAATTAGTTTGCTTTTAATTTCTTTGTTGTACGCCGTTTGAAATAAAAGACTAACACTAGCGTGTACTAGAAAGTGTCATTGTGTATAACATCCATTTAACCACAGCTGTTACTTATTAGCGACAGCTTGTACTTATCGATCCGCCCGTAATCCTCCCAGGCGCTCCCCGTGGTTGCTTAATAGCGGGCTCACTGAAGCGATCACAACAGGTAATTAATCGAAGCCATTAAGTCCCTCTCCGCGTTAAGTGTGGCGACAGCTGGTGCTGTAATTAGTCACGGCTCTCGGCTTTTTTCATTAGACTACAGCTGTACATGAACTATGTTCACATATCGTACGCCCGGTCATTCTTTGATCAAATTAAAAAATTTTGTTTCCACATGTCATGCGTACCGTCCCTTGCTATGTATGAAAGATTAATGGTTGTAACTATTCGCTTATAGCGAGGGTCAGCGAAAACAAAAATATATTTAAGGGTCGGAATTTTCTTTCAACCACCGTTAAGTCAGGTTTTGAGACGAAACGAAGTCTCGGTAGGTTCGTGTTTTTTAATGGGCGACAGGGCGACTTGGTGCGTTGGTACGTAGGTATGCGGGGTAGACATGTTTTTTACAAGTCTGGAAAAGTAATTACGTTTTTTATGACCGTTCCGATTTTCTTTTGATCTGACCACCATTTGACCACACTGAGCCAGATAAATTTAACAATTGTCGCAGCGGGGTTTATTTTAAGTGCACCCCGTGCACGCTTGTTTACATTTTAAAAGACGTGTCGCGTGTCTTCCCCTTACGGCTTCCCTAATAGAGAAACGAGAGGAAAGACAACTGTTCTAAAATTACAACAACCTTGTCTACAGACACGAGTATCGTCCCTTGTGAAAAAATTCGCGTCAGAATCCTTAACTAAACAGTCAATTTCTTTAAAAAGTTAAAAAATAATTTAGGAAGACAAGGGTTAACAAAATATATATCTTAGTCTTGCAGCAGATTACCTTCCCATGTTCGCTTTAGTATTACAGTTTTCATCAATCTTCTTTTTGACTTGAACTTCTTTAATTTTTAAGAAAGTTAACTTATACATAATACATTACGTCTAATGACAATTTTTTTATTTTTACCACTCAATGTATTTTCTTTTTCTATATCTTACATTGTCATCTTAATTTTTGATCACCTTAGGTGGTGGTAAGGTGGTAAGGTGGTGGTAAGGTGGTGGTAAGGTGGTGGTAAATTTGCTTAAGATTATAAACTTCAAGTTTTAAAAATCAACAACGTTATAGTACGTCGTGTCAAATGACACACCGTTAAAATGTCTACATTTAAAGTTCACCAAAATAATGACGTAAAAACTAAATATGATATAACGTTAGCATACATATCATTCAATCTAATCACTCTAAAGTACAAATCAATAATTTTGATTGATTAAGGGGCTGGGTGAGTTATTTTTATTCGGGTGCCCAGGGAAGGTTTGGAGTTGGTTGGGACAGATTTTATACACGAGTCGGTGACGTTTTCACCGAGGGAGGTTCGAAGCTAGACCATGCATGTTTTGGAATTGTTAGGGGTCGAGTCTATAGTAGGGTCGGGGGAGTTTTGTTAACACCGAGGCAGGTTACAAAGTTCGTACATGCATCATTGGAATTGTTAGGGAGAGTTAAACTAAGGTCGGTGAAGTTTTCACCGAGGCAGGTTACAAAGTCGGTACATGGATGTTTAGGAATTGATGGCAGTCGAGTTCATACTAGGGTCGGGGAATTTTGTTAGCACTGAGGCAGGTTGGAAAGTTGGTACATGCATGTTTGGGAATTGTTGGTAGCCGAGTTCATACTAGTGTCGGTGAAGGTTGGTTTTGAACTCGGAACATGCATGTTTTGGAATTGTTGGTAGCCGAGTTCATACTAGTGTCGGTGAAGGTTGGTTTTGAACTCGGAACATGCGTGTTTTGGAATCGATAGGTGTAGAGTCCATACTAGGATCGGTGAAGTTTTCACCGAAGTGGTTTCAAAGTTAGTACAGGCATGTTTTGGAAGTGTTAGGGGTCGAGTTCATACTAGTGTCGGTGAAGGTTGGTTTTGAACTCGGAACATGGATGTTTTGAAATTGTTGGCAGCCGAGTTCAAACTAGG